CATTCTGTGATTCTATGAAGTGTCTGTACATCCTTAAGGGAACACCATCACCAGCATATGCCCTGTAGCCCTAAATCCCAGACAGCTAGGGACACAAAGATGTGTGGTCTCAGCTGGAAAAGGCAGGAGTTTTTCTTCTACGTAATGATTGGCAGAGTTGCTATCAAGTGAGATGGCCTCATGGTACTGTCAAGCTTTTGAAATTGGTTGTCTTCACACACTGCTGCACTTTTTGTGCAGCTTATATTAATTGCAGAATTGATGGTTTAGAAATATGTATACATAATTTGTACTTCTGTGCTAACTTCGTAGAAGGCAGAAATAATTTATAAGTGATATCTCTATTTCCCCAGGCAAAAGGTTTCCTGGTCCATATCGAACCAGTCCTATTTCCCAGTTTGTGCTGTATTTCCAAACATTTATTTGGGCGTAGGGAGCATCCTTCTACATGGTTCTAAAATCCAAAACAACTCATGTAATTAAAACTCGTTTCCACAGAGAAGATGATCTTGCTCCAGCACTTGAGACAAACAGCACTGAGGAACTATTGCTTGGAGTAAAGCAGGAGGTTAATGAAAATGCTTAATAGGATCTTGTAATACTTCCAGGTACTTTTTATTTGTACCGCTAATGTGACGGAAACCATTCCAGAACCACTGCGGGATAGGATGGAAGTGATCAACGTATCAGGATACGTGGCAGAAGAGAAACTTGCAATTGCAGAGGTAAGAGAAACCGCTGATACGCTGTGAATTACATCTGGTAAAATGTTTTTGGCAGATTCAAGCTTACCTATGCTTACCATGGCATTTTGGTCAGAGTTCTCTGATGTGAACACCCAGTTAAAGTAACTCCACTGTTCATGGGCTGTGGGCTCCAGAAAATGGCATTGTGCTAATAGCAGCATCAAGCTGAGGGAATTGGAACCACCAGGTTTTTGTCACAATTACTAACAGAAGGATGTGGGGGATAATTTCTTTCAGAGATACTTGGTCCCTCAAGCACGAGTTCTGTGTGGCTTGGATGAAAACAAAGCCAAAATTACATCAGATGTCCTGACTGTTCTCATCAAGCAGTACTGCAGAGAGAGTGGGGTGAGGAATCTGCAGAAACAAGTAGAAAAGGTGAGGGAAGGTGGTGTGTAACCATGACCACTGTGCTTCAGCCTTCTCAGCTTTTTCTGCAGAAACAAATTATTGTCTCACTTAGGTATTGAGGAAATCTGCCTACAAAATCGTGAGTGGAGAAGCAGAGACAGTCCAAGTAACACCTGAAAACCTGCAAGACTTTGTAGGAAAGCCCATCTTCACCGTGGATCGCATGTATGAAACCACTCCTCCGGGAGTGGTGATGGGTCTGGCCTGGACAGCTATGGGTGAGACAAAATTACTTTTGGGTTAATGTCTACATTTCCATATATTTTTTAAAAATTGAATGTGATAATCAACTGAACTAAGTGAGGTGGTTCTTCTGGCACCAGTAAAATAAACTTCTGTGGCCTTTTAGATGCTGACAACTTCCTCCCTTAAGAAGGCACCCTTTCTTGCTCCCTTACCCAGGCTCGTTTTCTCTTCATATGAACCACATACATGAGGAACAGCAGTCACTAAGAGCATAAACCTGTTCAGGGGGAGCAAGACCTTGTCTGCTTCCCAAAAAGCAGGAGGTGCCATTCTGACTTCTGGCTCAGCTGAGGCGTGCTGTAGCTCTTCAGTGATGTCAGCACTGACGTGGGTTTCGGTGTCAAGGACAGATAGAGGTATTCCAGCCCTCTGTTGGGCTGGGTGCCGTTGGCTAGTTAACATTCACTGGATTACTCCCCTAGTAACCGGGGGCTTATGTGCACCACAGTATGGAAATAGAGCACTCAGCAAAGAAAATGACCCCTGAATAATTTAATTGACCTAGGGCAGAATTGAAGTAGTTCAGAGGGAAGTGATCAGCATGGTGGAGAAGGTGAATAGATGTCTTGACACTGGAAAGCTAAACGGGCTAGAAGCGTGTCATGGTGTGAGCTGATCTCACTTTTTGGCTGTGAAGAGCCTGAACTGATTATTTCCACTAAATAGGGGTTGTGTCTGTACTGGTGAAGTGTGAAGTCCAAAGAAGCAGTTATGCAGTCAGTGCAGTGCTGTGAGATTTCTAGCTGGCCTTCCTGGAGGGATTCAGAGAGCAGGTTTCAAGTGCTCTTTGCCCAGGAGCTAGTTTCATCAGAGTGCCCCACTTCCAAATTCCTGACACTGCTTCTGTATCACCAAAAGCTCTGGTTTTATTTGCCTTCAACTTTTCTCAGGATGTTGTTTTTCTCCTCTTTCTTAGGGGGTTCTACTCTGTTTGTTGAAACATCGCTGAGGCGACCCAAAGACAAGGAGAACAAGGATGGGTCCCTTGAAGTAACAGGGCAACTGGGAGACGTAATGAAAGAGAGTGCCAGAATAGCTTACACATTTGCCAGAGCCTTTCTGATGCAGAAGGACCCCAACAATGACTTCCTCATGTCTTCCCATATCCACTTGCATGTGCCAGAGGTAAACTGCTGCAGAATTCACAGAGCATGCGTAGCAGCTCCCCTAGACATGAAGCTGGAAAGCGCTTCATTTGTCCATATGTTGTACAGAATGCCCTCTTTTAGCAGAAAAGCCTAGAAGAGTTTTTTCTCAGGATCCTGTGAAAGCATTCCTGTGAGCTGTGTTCCCATCCTTTCTGCAGTAAGCATGTGCTGAGAATACAGGGGCTTGGATAATGCTGTAAGGAATCATAGCCTTTTGGCGTAGCTGTTTGCCCTGTTGTGCAGGTGGGGGAACCATGGCATAGAGGGAAGTGATTTGGATAAAAGCTTCTGTGCAGCTACAAGGAAACCAAAGTTTAGGTCTGTGTTACCAGGCCTTCACAAAGGCTTCAGGTTATTTACACACAGCTGAAATTGCCCCTTGGTGTCTGTGCCATGGTTTCTAGTCCATATAATGGCAGTGATTACATTTCTCTAGTATTTAGCTTAGGCCTGGATTGTGTTCAGCTTTCTAAACTGAATAATCTTTCATGATTTTCAGTATTGTCCTCCACTATTTTATGACTCTTGATACTCTATTCCCTTGTGATGCTGACCTGTTACTTGTCCTGGTTGGCGTAGGTCCACAAAAAGCTTCAAAGCGTTCATGCTCTGTTCTTGCTCATGTTGCTTATTCAAAGTCCTAAGCCTGATGAGTGTTGCGGGGGCATCAGGCCAGAGACCAGACTGTAGACTGTGGATTATTCCTCATGAATAAGGTGAGGACTGACGTCGGTGTAATAGACCAGCAGGCATCCATCGGTGGCACGTTTGCAAAAACCTTTGTGAGAAGCCCTGAAACTGGGGCCATGTTAAAACAGCAACAACAAAGGTATTGTCTGGCTTTGCTACTCTTTGAATGAGCTGAAGGTAGGGGGGTTGTGCCTCTTTTTTTAAACAGGGAGCAACACCGAAGGACGGACCAAGTGCAGGCTGTACCATAGTAACCGCTTTGCTGTCGCTGGCCATGAATTTCCCAGTGAGGCAGAACGTGGCCATGACTGGAGAGGTGTCATTAACTGGAAAAATTCTTCCTGTTGGTGGAATCAAGGAGAAGACTATTGCGGTAAGAGCTCTCATCTTCTCTCTGTGCCTCCGATGTGGGAGAGAGCCTTGGTTTGGGCTCAGCGGTGACTGGAACCACCGGTGATTGCTCCTGTGGTGAGCGGCAGTGATTCCATGTACACCGTGGAGAAGCCTGCTAGGGGAACAGGGGGATCCTGCCTGTGTGTCTGGCTGTGAGGAGGGAGATGGGGTCCCAGCCTTTGTGCCAAGGCATCTGTGCTGACCTAGCTACCAGACCAGTGGAAGGGATCGTCGGGCTGTTACAGCTCTCTTTTCTGTCACAGGCTGGGACGGTTCCATAGTCTGGGCTGGGTTGAAGTGCCTGTTTGAGAAGGGCATCCAGCGTAGATTTCATGGTGTCCGTAAGGTTATCATGCTTAGCATTAAGGCTCTGTTCCCAAGTTCCAGCTTGATTTTGTCTGACTTAAAATTTCATGCAGATATCCCTATGTTTTTCTGGTTTAGATGGAAGGAACAAGTAGCGTCTTGCATTTTCCCCTGGGAAGTTTCTTTGTACATCCTAAAGCTGCATAATCCTCTCTTTTTTAGAAAGCTGTATAGACTGCGTTCTCTGAAGCACTCCCGCAAGTGCTGGGTTTATAGTGGTGCTTGCTTTTTCTGGTTTCACCCCTTGACAGTTCTCAGCATTGAATCTCTCTGTACTTTTCATCTGCACAGCTCCTGCCCACATCAGCTTTGCATCATGCACATTTTTCTGGCTTTGAGAATGCTGTTAGCTCTTTTGGTAGCTGGTTCAGCTGGGGCTTCACATCAGTGTTCTGTCCCCGAGCCTGTTTGGGCTACAGCCGTATGCAGTGTGATTTGTTTTCCTCACGTGGCTTTAAAATGGGTAATTTTGCTTTGTCGAAGGACTGATATCCAGTAGGGATGTCTGTGGCACCGATGACTGGCTGCACTTGCAGGAGTGTGAGTGGCCACATGGGGAGAAGGGCAGGATCGCTCAGTGCTGGCATCCCAGAAAGCCAACCGTGTCCTGGGCTGTATCCAGAGCAGTGTGGCCAGCAGGGCGAGGGAGGGGATTCTGCCCCTGGACTCTGCTCTGGTGAGACCCCACCTGGAGTGCTGCGTCCAGCTGTGGAACCCTCAACATCAGGAGGACATGGCCCTGTTAGAGCAAGTCCAGAGGAGGCCACGAAGATGCTCAGAGGGCTGGAGCACTTCTCCTGTGATGAAAGGCTGGGAGAGTTGGGCTTGTTCAGCCTGGAGAAGAGACGGCTCCGGGGAGACCTTATAGCACCTTCCAGTGCCTGGGGGGGCTGCAAGGAAGCTGGGGGGGACTTTTTACAAGGGCCTGTAGTGACAGGACAAGGGGGAACGGGTTTAAATTGAAAGTGGGCAGGTTTAGATTGGATATCAGGAAGAAGTTCTTCCCACAGAGGGACTGGGACAGGTTGCCCAGAGAAGCTGTGGATGCCCCATCCCTGGAAGTGTCCAAGGCCAGGCTGGATGAGGCTTGGAGCAACCTGGTCTAGTGGAAGGTGTCCCTGCCCGTGGCAGGGGGTGGGACTGGATGGGCTTTAAGGTCCCTTCCAACCCAAACCAGTCTGTGATTCTGTCATTCTCTGCTCAGCTGTGAAGTGGGTGGGTACAGACCTGCAGCTCCACTCTGTACTCTCTCCGATGCAGATGTCCATATCAAAAGGTTCCGTATAACGGTGCTATGGGTCGTGCGTGTTGACATGCTGGGTTGGTCTGACAAGCTGGTTTTAGTTCTTCCTTTGATTCTAGGGTTTATCCTCACCCAAATTGGAACACTTTAAACTTTGTAAAACTAATAGTATGAATTATTTAAACAATCCCCAGCTGTGCTGACATAGTCCTGCTAAAATACCTCCCACTTCAGCTGTCCCTGCAGCTGAGGTGGGCCTGGGGAGATCTAGAACATGATCCATCCTTAGTGACATCTCGAAGTAATGCCCTTGCTGCTCTCCAGAAAGCAGACTAAAGCAGATCGTGCTCCTAAATAACTATTACTGTTCTTGCTTTCTAAAATGGGAGTGTTTCTTGTGGTTTGATGGATTTCTAGAACTCAACAGACTGCATAAATTTCTTGTCCCCACAGGCCAAGAGGGCAGGTGTTACCTGTATCATTCTGCCATCAGAGAATAAAAAGGATTATTATGACCTTGCAGGATTCATTACAGAAGGACTAGAAGTGCACTTTGTTGAGCACTACAAAGAGGTATTTGATATAGCATTTTCAAAGCTGGATATGGCTGGAGGATGATGTCCAACCACCTGATGGCTGGAAGGTGGCGTGTCCCTCCATACTCTGCCCTCGTCCAAAAACACGGTGACCTGGGCACAATTCTGAAGTGGGACGTGGAGCTATTGCTGCTGCGCAGCTCTGAAATGAATTATGGCTTTGGTAGAATAAAGTGTTTCTCTTTACTACTGAATTGTGATCCATGTTAAGCATTTCCAACAAAACTGTGACATTTTACCTAAGCTGTGTGCATGTTACCAGCCACCCACAGTTGGAGCCACTCGTCTCTTCTAATGAAAAGATTTTTTTCAGTTACTTCACTGCAATTTTAGATAATGCTTATGCAAACACTTCACGGTACAGAGCTGGGCTATGATTCACACGTACTGTGTTCCTGATGTACTCGTAGGAACCTCTCCCTCTCTTGACTTACAACCCTGTGCTGGGCTTGAGGGGAGACCGAGGTTCTGGGGCCATTCAGCACAGCTCACTCTTTCAGCTGCAGGGGAACGTGGCTCTCCAGCCTCAATCACGGTCAGTACCAGGAGGAACAACTTCAGGCTTACAGCAGCATGGCCCTGGCCAAGAGCAACGTGCTCATTATCAGCAGTTAGCACTGCACTCCACCACAGCCTGTCTGTGCCACTGCAGCGTGATGTTCACAGAGTGAAAAACCAAGAATTGTGTTGGTGGGAGTGTTGTACATCAACACACACAGTCTTGGCCCAGGGAACTTAGAGCAAATGCTGGTAAAAATGGATTTAAACAGGGGAAGAGTAGTTACATGAAGTCTAGGTGAAATTGGGCTTGTTCAGCCTGGAGAAGAGAAGGCTCCAGGGAGACCTTAGAGCACCTTCCAGTGCCTGGAGCTGGGGGGGGCTTTTTACAAGGGCCTGTAGTGACAGGACAAGGGGTAACGGGTTTAAATTGAAAGTGGGGAGGTTTAGATTGGATATCAGGAAGAAGTTCTTCCCGCAGAGGGTGGGGAGGCACTGGGACAGGTTGCCCAGAAGAACTGTGGATGCCCCATCCCTGGATGTCTTCAAGGCCAGGCTGGATGAGGCTTGGAGCAACCTGGTCTAGTGGAAGGTGTCCCTGCCCATGGCAGGGGGGTTGGAACTGGATGATCTTTAAGGTCGCTCCCAACCCAAACCGTTCTGTGATTCTATGAAATGTATTTCCTTGTGCAAGAGGAACAGCACTTGTCTGTCTCACAGCAAGGCAGCCCTTTATGGAGAATAAAGAATGGTTCTGCTGAAATTCAGAGACTGTTCCTGACTTGAATTCTCTCACGATCCGGTAACTCACTGCAGCAAGTGCAGCGTGAATGGAGGGTACACGGAGAAATGCATGAGCACAAAAAGCTGCGCACTGTTCAAGTGCCACGGGGAAGGTGTGCAAAGTTGTTACTGTTTTCTACAGTTGTTGCCCACTGACTTCTGTCCTACCACCATCAAGGTGTGGAGACAGACGGGGAGGTGGAAGTTATCACAGTCTTCCCAGAATAAGCTACTGCAGAGGCCTACCACATCCTGAGAAAGGCTAGTCTCTGCAAGGGCTGGAGGGGAATCCCCCCTCTCTCGTATCTACCATAGGCCACTAAAACTCCAGTGTTGGCAGCTCCAGCTGCAGGTAAAATAAAACACAAAGGCAGGTTCTGGCCTGCAGCAGCACAGCCCCTCAGCACCCCCTTCTACAGGCTGAAGCAGATGTATCACCAACAGTCACTACACTGTCTTGGCGAGAAAGGACTTTATTTTACAGACTGTACAGCTCAATCCTTCTTCGCAGCAGCTTTCCTCATGGCTGCCAGGACATTACTGAGCTCTTCCCGCTTTCGCTTGGCACGGATGTGAGTACCAACCTGCAGGGGAGAGAGCGGTGCAGTCAGCACTCATCCTGGCAGAGAACAAATCAAACTTCTTGGCTGCTTCATCGCTTAAGATGCTTTACGCAAAAAGCAGGCAGGATGGTGAAGTCCTGGGAAACATGGACTGGAACCCAACCCACCTTGACCTGCCAGCCAGGACGCACCTGCTCTCACATCTCAGCAGCATTTCTACTCAAGAATAGTTGGGGCAAGATAGAAGCTGCTTTCAGCTCTCAGAGCTGCCCTTACGGAACCCCATTTCAAGTCACCTGGGTAACGGTACCCAACCTCCACCAGTACTGCCCTCCTCTTCCCCGTGCCAGATGTGCAGGTAACACAGAACCAGCAAGGCAAGTTGGGGTTACTGCTGCTCAGGGTCTTCCTGGCAAAGTACCTTTAAGTCCATCTCCCACGCTCCCACCCAGCCCGGGGAGCTTTCCTCCCTCAGATCAGACCAGTAACTTCACAAACAACAGAAACCGTAAGAGAAAAATAGCAAAGTATCCTTAGGGAAGGGCAGAAAAGCAAGTTAACTACAGCAGCATCCTCAGGATGTCAGATTGACCTACCCGCTTCTTTATGAACTTCAGAGCACGCTTAGGTTAACTACAGCAGAGTTTTTCCCATCCTCAGGATGTCAGATTGACCTACCCGCTTCTTTATGAACTTCAGAGCACGCTTATCTTTGGAAACTTTCAGCAGTTCCATAGCACGTCTCTCATAGGGTGCAAAGCCACAGACTTCCCTGATCATGTCTCGCACAAACTTGGTGTGTTTGGTCAGGCGCTGCGTGAAGAGGATGGAGAAAACAAAAGTGCTGATTTACTCCAACGGGCTGTTGGCAAACTGTGGGCAAAGACCCCAAAACCAGCTTACACTATGAGCACAGCCCAAGGAAATACAATCCTGTGGGAAGGTGGTACGGAGCACGGGCTAGCCTCTTCATTTCAGCCACAGTACTAGCTGTTTTGCACGTTTGCACGCATCAACGTTTTCAGTAAAAGCAGGACCATTACTTCTGCAGGGTGTGCACTGCTATGCATCTCAAACACAAACAGCATTTAATCACAGTGGAATGAAAGATGCACACTGTCACGGCCTCTCCTGTTAACACACACATTCACTGAACCTAAGAACTCCTAACAATGGCCATTAGTGGGCAGTTCTGGGGGGTACACCTGCTGTTACTCAGGGAAGGAAACTAGGAGGGAATTCTGAAGTCGCCCAGCCCGTTTTCTGGTTCACTGCTCATTCAATTTAAGCTCTGGCTGAAGCACATATATTGTATTCTTCCGTTCCAGGCTGCTCTGCTGCTAATTCTCCTACAACCAGGGATTTCACTCCACACCCACCTACCCAGACTTTATGCTCTCCGTGGTTTAAGCCCCTGCTCCACGTGTAACATCACCAGCTCCCTCAACCCCGGAACACGGTGCTTTCCTGCAGGTTTTCTGTTGGACCCAGTCACCGCAGCTCAGGGCCAGCCAGCACTCCCCACCCCGCAGAGCGCGCGTGCAGACCCGCAAAGCACGCAGTACAGCCGGCACGTTCAGCTCCTACACCGCCGCCCGCCCAACCCAGCCCGCTACACCTCAGACGGTACCGCAGCAGCCCGGAGCGTCTCCCTCTGCCCAGCTCCACGCTGTCAGGCCCACGACGCCGCG